GGAGCAACAATAGCAATAATAAATCAATTGAAGAAAGAGGAGAAGTCACAAAACTGGAGCTACTGTTCAGGGCTCGAAATCAGATTCTACATGCCTCTAAATTTGATTTTCACCGTTCAAATCCAAGGCCAAGATGTTACAAATACTCACTAAAAAATTCAGCCCGATCCAACGGTTAACGAATTGGAAAACATGATTTGAAGTTGAATGGTCAGAATTAAAATCTACAGCAAAAACAAATACTTTTCTTCTCTCTTCTCTCTTGATGAAAGCTCTCTAAAAAATCACTCTTATATGCTTAAGTCTTTCAAAGACTTGTGTCAATGAGCATAGAATAATTCTCCAAGGTTGTCATATTTATAGATCATGAGTTGTGCCAGATGAGGATCTAGAATTTGATAGTTGTGGGTGCCACTGTATTTAATGTAAACTTACCAGTAGTCAAAAAGGTTGAATTTGAGTATACATGCATTTGGACGGTTCGCTATATTTTAAATTAATTCGGTTCGGTTCGGTCCATTTTAAGTTAATTTGGTTTGCTTTACAAAATCTTTTGGTGCATAAATAATACATGATAACAAAACTAAATATATTTGGTCCTTTCAAGAAAAAAGTAATTTTAACTAGATAAAAAAGAAAAATAATTAAAAAAATATATTCAAATAAAAAAATTTGAGACCTAGAACAAGAAAACATAGGCAAATATACTTTTATAATTTAAAGAATTAATAAAAACGAGATTGTATATGGAGAGAAAATATAAAATGAAGATAAAAAAAGTTAAGAAAAAGAGGAGAAAAGAAAACAATATGGAAAGAAGGAACATAAAAAAGTAACATTGGCTTAATATGAGTGAGAGGAGGATCGATCTTGGGTATTGGGCTTGGGAAGGGCTACTTTGCCTATGACACCTACAACCATTTTGTGACTTAGGGTGCCACTAATTATTTATATACCTTTTCTACATGAAATACTAGTGAAACACTAATTCGTACATGAAATTCTGCCCAAGCGAGCGGGTGGCGTACCACCCCGTCACCTCTACATAGATCCGCCCTTGAGTGGTGCTTTCTCTTAAAGCCAAAACCAACTCTAAATAGGAATAAACACCGAATCCAATTCCGGATAGGAATATAAACCAAAAGAGAATAGGATTAGTCCATTGGGTCTTTGGCTAGATAACAAGGGCATGTACCCTCCTCTAGCCAAGAGGCCAAATGTGTCTTCAAGTAGAGGAACTATTGACAGGCTTCATGCCTGCCAATTTTCTGCAAAACGCATGCTTATCTGCAAGCTTAACGACGAAGTCCTCAGGCTACTCCATATAAATCTCCTCGTCTAAATCACCATGAAGAAAAGCAGTCTTGACATCCATCTGCTCAACCTCTAAATCTAGACTTGAGGCTAAGCCTAGAACCACGCGAATAGAAGACATCTTCACAACTGGGGATAAAATTTCATCAAAGTCAACTCCCTTATTCTGGAAAAAACCTTTAACAACTAACCTCGCCTTCTATCTAGATGCAGAGGTATGGTTATCTTGCTTTATTTTGAATATCCATTTGTTAGATAAAGCTCTTTTACCTTTCGGCAATTTCACTAACTCTTATGTGTCATTCTCATGAGTGACTTCATCTCATCTTCCATGGCTTCAACCCACTGATCTTTGTGAGTATCTTGCATGGCTTCATCATAATTCTCAGGTTCTCCCATGTAAGTCAAAAGTACATACTCATCAGGAGGATAGCGCATGGATTTTTGCTTATCCCTTTGTAGATATTCTAAGAGAGGTTTCAGGAGCATTTGAAGTAGTTACCTGAGCAGGAATTGGTTGCTGATCAACCACAACTTCATCAACTGAAGCATCTATAACATCTATACTATGATGATCATTATCTCTATCATAGTCTTGGGTTCCTTCATGTGCAATAAGTGCCTTAACAATAGAAATTGAATCAATATCAACTAAGCTCTCATTACTCTGAGAATCTATCTTTTCTGCTTTGTCAATATCTTCAATAGCGGTCTTCAAAGAATATTGCATCACGACTTCTAATAAGTTTATTATCAATTGGATCGTAAAAACGATACCCAAACTCATCTTGACCATAACCGATAAAGATGTATTGCTTAGTTTTGCAATCCAGTTTCGATCTCTCATCTTTAAGAACATGCACACAAGCTTTACACCCAAAAACTCTTAGGTGATCATAAGAAACATCTTTGACAAACCAAACTCTATCTGGGGCATCACCATCCGAAGCAACAGCAGGAAACAAATTGATAACATAGGCAACAGTGTTAAGTACTTCTACCCAAAATGTATTTAGAAGTTTAGCCTCTGAAAGCAAGCATCTAACTCTCTCAACTAAAGTTCTATTCATCCTCTCTACCAAACCATTCAATTGAGGTGTCTTGGGCAGAGTTTTCTGATGACGAATTTCTTGTTCTTTGCAATAGTTATCAAAGGGACCACAATATTCAACACCATTTTCACTCGAATACATTTTAATTTCTTCCCCGTTTGTCTCTCAACTAAGGCCTGAAATTCCTTAAACACATCAAGTGCTTGATCTTTAGATTTCAAAGGATACACCTAGAGCTTATGATAATGATCATCAATGAAGGTGCAAAGTAAAGTGCACCACCTTTTGACTTTACTTTAAAAGGACCATACAAATCAATTATACTAGCTCTAATAAATCGGGCTTTCTTGAGGGAGGATGACTATGAAAGGAAACCATTTTCTTTTTGCTATAAAAAATGGATACACCTTTTCAGCTTTGCTTGTTTCACTCTAGAAAGCAAACTTTTCTTAGCCAAACACGTAATCCCCCTCTCACTCATATGACTCAATCTTCTGTGCCATAATTATGATAAAGTATTACTTTCTACCAGATTTATGGAGTCATTAAGAATAGTACTTTGTGTCACATATAAATAATCAGACTTGACTCCTCGAGCCACTACTAACGAGCCCTTGGTGAGCTTCCATTGGCTATTAAAGAGGGCATTATGGTAACCTTCATCGTCTAATCTTCCTGCGGAGATCAAATTGAAAGGAACGTCTGGAGATGCTTGACATCTTGAAGAACTAACGTTGAAACATTATTAGTTTTCAAACAAACTGTGCCAACACCAATTACCTTAACTTCACAAGCATTGCCCATCTTTAAATACTCCAAAATCAACATGAGTATAAGATGAGAAAAAGTCTTTTCTTGGTGTGACATGTGAGGTAGCTCCAGAATCTACTATCCAGCTCGTCTCATGGGATACTAAATTGATGACGTTTTCATCATAAGCAAAAAGAAGGTCATCTCGAACAATAGCAACGACATTATTTTCGTAATTTTCAACTTTCTTTCCTTCTCTAATGTTTTGCAACTACTTGTGGCAAAACCTTTTGATGTGTCCTTTTTTATCACAGTGGCTGCATGTAATATTATGGTATTTGAACCTTGACTTACTTCTACTTTTACCTCTATTCCTCGAGCCTTTTGTTCTATCTCTTCCCCGGTCTTCTATAACCAAGATATTTGTTTGTGAGGACGAATCTTGAGATTTTCTCCTTACTTCCTTGTTCAACACACCACTCTTGGCATATTCTGTAGTTACCTTACCTTTAGGTGCTGAATTTGTCAAAGAAACACGAAGAGTTCCCCAAGAGTCTGGTAAAGTATAAGAAGCCAAAGTCCTTGTATCTCATCATCAAAATTAACTCTCATTCCAGACAGCTAATCAAGGATGCCCTGAAAATCATTTATGTGATCAAGGATAAGGCTGCCTTCCTTGTAGTTAAAGGTCATCAATTGTTTTAGCAGGAATAACTTGTTGTTCCCAGTTTTTGAAGCATAAAGAGTATCTAGCTTTTCCCACAATGATCTTGCAAGTGTCTCATTCACAATATGGTTGCGAACATTATCTTCAACCCATTATCGTATATATCCACATACTTGTTGGTGGTATATATCCACATACTTGTTGGTGCTCAAAATCCCAATCTTCATCAAATATACTCTCGAGTTTATGAGCTGCAAAAACTGGTAGATGCATCTTCTTCACGAATAACAAATCTTTCATCTTGCTCTCCGAACATTATAACTTCTCCCATTTAAACATACCATCTTGCTTATATTCGCCTCCATTCCGTAACAACTCGGATAAATAACCAAGGCTCTGACACCACTGTTATGACCGAAATGACTAGCCAAATATGGAAGAATTATATTTTCCTTATACGAAAAGAAAAATCCAATTATGATAAATATGTTGTCCTTTCCTTCATGAGATAGGAAACTAATTATGGTAGGAAAATCTGGACAAACACGTAACATTCCTTTTCTTTTTCCTTGTTAGGTTAGCTATTAGGTAATAAAACGAACAAAATGTTTAACTGCAGCAACAAATCTAGTATTTACACTTCCTTTAGTATTTGTTTAACAAAATCATAAATTTTATTTGTAATTACTGTACATGACCAACCTGGGATAACTTAACTTTTTATTGTTTTAATATAAATATTAAAATTTATTAGCATTATACCAAGTACATTATGGAAAATCGAAATAGTGAAATTGTTAGGTCATTTCAATTAGCTCATAAACCACGCATTTCTCGATTGGTTGAGAAACCACATATTTGTGTAGAATATCGTCTCAAGTTCATCTCGACGAAAGTCTCAACTTCTTTTTCTGAAAATTAATTAGATATTCAATCATTTGCAAAGATTAATAAATTACTTTTTTTTATCGTAACTTCCATCATATATTGGATTAGAGAAGAACTTGACTGATTGATCATCAGATTTTCAAGTACTTAATGCAGTTCAGCTTCTTTGGAATATAATGTTGAGAAAAATTTCTTCAAAAAAAAAAAAAGGATCTTCGCATTTTCGGTTGAGTAAATTTAGTAGTAATTAATACTACTAGTAGTTAATGTTAAGAAAAGTTGGCATCTATGATTACACCGAGCAAATGGAAAAGAAGAACACTAGTTGCTAATTTGTAAAAATATTGGCATTAAATAGAACAAAAATCTGTACAAGTTGGGTGAGAACCGCAGTGGGTGTGCTGAATCATATCCTCTCCTGCATCACTAACTCTCTCTATTTGGATATACAAAATAAAAACGTTGGCACATATACATAATAAATACTAATATGCTAGCTATTACATCAAATGGCCTTCTTTAATCTTTATTAGTAATTCCTTGACCAACAAGGCTGCAGATCTCCTTTGGATAAATCTGCGAAAAGCAGAACAGTCACAAGATAAAGTTAGTTACTCCTATAGTTATTAACCACGAATAAAAGAACAAAAAGCTAATTTTTTTTCTTTAAAATATATAAAGCAGAAGGATGTGGCAATCTTAGTACTCCCTCCACAATAAGTGATCAATTTACTTTGGGCACATCCATTAAGGAAATACTAAATTCTAGACAAAAATAGTTAGTGTGACTAAACTACCCTTAATTAAATGTTGCAGCATAATATAATGTGAGGAGTAAAAGACTTTTTAGGGATACGTACATCAGAGTAATTTTGAAAAAACAAATTGAATTTTTTCTTGATTACATAAATGGATACTTATTTTAGACCAAAATAAAAAAAAACAAATTGATCACTTATTGTGGACAGAAGAGAGTAATTAAGAATCTGATAGCAGCACATGATTTTTGATTAAAAAATGTGGGAGCACGAGCACCAAGAGAAAATATAAATAAATAAATAATAAAAAAGCCTCCGGCAATATTTACCTGAAACCTAGCTCTAGGAGAACTGGACAGGTCCAAAGGAACTAGAATTGATGTCTTGTGCCTATGGACTCTTTTCTTTTTTACTTTTCACTTCACTCTTTCTTCTTGCGCTAATTTTGGTTTTCTTGAAAATGATCCTGTCTTGCATGCCGAAACCTGCATCCATATCATAACATGTTGGTCAGTTAATTCACCAAATGAATTTAAAAAAAATGTTAAATAAAAAAGAGGGGGAAATGGAAAATCATGATTTTTATTTTGAAGAAATTTGTCTTGTGCGTGTTTTAGCCGTGTGGGATTCCAAGCATATGGCCAACTTACTCCTAATTCCTGCACGTTTTCTGCTATTACAGTTGTCTAACCAAACGGCAGACCAAACTCGATATAGTTAGTCCTAACCATATGACTCAATTAAATTTCATATTTGACTATTTCTATTCCATTCTAATGCGTCTCAGATTTCTTGATTTGTCCTCTACTTTTTGTTCCTTCTCTATCATTAGGACTAAGGTACTATGTGACCAAGTCAAACGGCAGAAGGAAGCAGCAATGGGCTAGAGAGCAAATACCAAGGAATCCTATTTCATAAGAGACTAGTAAAATAAAGGGGAAGTATCACTTTAGCCAACTATATATATTTGATAGCCGCAAAAGTATATATATATATATATATATATTTATTTATTTATTTATTTTTATTTTCGGATACTATTTTGAAAGCGGTTATACAATGTTATTTTTCCTAAAAAAAATGGAGTTGTTCATTTGTTCTATTTTATATTATGGTATTTGACTATTGAAAATCTCCAGCATATAATAGAAATATTTTAAACATTTTTATGTCTAAAAAACATATTTATTATGTATGATAAAAAAATTTAAAATGCAAAGATTTTTTTTTGTTTATAAAATGTAAATGAAAAAGCAATTACTCGGGGTTTTCAAGTTGGTCTCGAGAAATTCTAGAAGGAAAGCAAAAGTCATTTCTGGGAACGTGAGGTCAACTAATGAACACTGAAACAACTAACAGGGGTTAGTCGTCCTTATACAGCCGGTGGACCCAGAAAACAACTTGCAAATTACATGTCCAATTTGTCCCAAAAACGTTCAAAATTAATTACGTAGCTGTACTATTTCGAGAAATTAAAAAGATGAGGGAATTTCGGTGTGTTTGGTAGGAACGAAAAATATTTTTAATGTTTTAATAATTGGTTAGCTTGAATATTTACAAAATATTTTTTTCATGAAGTAATTTTCGAGAGAAAATTACTTTTNCCCACCCCTACCCTCGCTCCTGCCACCCCGACACCTAGACCTCGACCTATGACCTACGACCCTTCCCCCCTACTCATTTTGTTTCCGATAATGTTTATCTAAATTATATATTTTTAAAAAATATTTTATGCTATCTAGTCAAACACTAGAAAATCACTTATTTTTTAAGAAAGTATTTTTTAGGAAAACGTTTTACTTGGTACCACCAAACACACCCTTAAAGTTGGCGATATTTTGAGTTGACATGTGCAATCTGGTCATCAAATTTAGCACAGGTGGTGAGAAAGATATGGAGACTTACAGCTTCAATATCAATTTTGTAAAGGAGAAGTTTTCTTCTTTCTCTGCAGCTAATTCTGTAAGCCACCACCACATGTGCGACGGCCAACGCAAATGAACACACGAAAAGTGCCATTTCCATTACCCCAACATACCCTTCTCTATCCATTCTTGAACTGTTCCCAAATACATATGAAGCTTTCAACGACACAAACACCAACGATGAAATCGAACACATGGTTGCAATTCCCAAATATGGCCCTCTTGACAGTCTTGGACCATCACATAAGCTATAAACACCTATATATATTCACATCAACAAAATTAGTATACATGAGTGAGTATTTTTTAGTAGTATCCCATCACTTGATATTTAACAATCACAACTAAACTAGTATATAACTTTATTTAACCGACTACCCTTGGTCGGCTGAAGCTCCGCCAGTGAGAACTACTATGCCTCAATCCAAGCACATTAAGATATGAATTCTCACTCATGTTCTCAATTTAAAAAAAAATACTTGAAAGGAAAATACGAGGATTTGTGTTAAAAAAAAAACTTACATAGAATGAGGGCAGACCTAATGATGGAGATGAGGGGAATATCGATGAGAGAATAGCGGAAATCATAGTTAATTAGATGAGAAGAAAGGGTTTGAATTGAGAGGGAAGAAGGGGAGAGAGAAGCAGACAAAAGGGCTGAAGGGAGAAGGGTATCAGCGATTACAAGAAGAATTGGTGCTGAGAAAAGGAGAAGAGAAATCAACATAGAGATTAAGAAAAACAGAGTTTTGATCCATCTCACTACTCTTGTTCTTCTATCTTCTTTAAACCCCATCTCTGCTTTTCTTTTCCAATGGGGAGAATTCGGACTTGATCTTAAATTCTTATATGGATTTATGTTGAGAAAAATTGGTGGGAAAGGGGCTTTAAAAGAAGGGACAATTACCAGAAAGATGGCTAAGGTAAGGTTCGATGATTTGACTAATTGTGGGGTTTGGGAAGGAAAATGACTTACAACTTTACATAGAGGTCAAATATAGGAAGCTGCACTCCATCTTATGTTTTTCGTCAGCAATTTTTTTTTTTCTTTTTTTTTGAGTTTCTTATGTGGACTAACGGCAATTACCGAATAGACTTTCTTAATGACAATGAATTGTATCATTAATTTAGTATTAATGTCATATACTACTCCCTTGTCCATGTTATCGGTAAGTAGAAATAAGAATATATATTTAGATTATTCTTTATTTTTTTCTTAATATCTTAATTAATTAATTAATTAATACCTCATTAATTGAAGCACTAAAAATAAAAATGAACAAAAATAATAAATTATTTTTTATTTTCTAAAACGTTAAATATTTTATAGCAAATAAAAAAATTATGTTTCGGATTGGGTATAGTACTAAGAAAGAAGTTTCATTGGGTGGCTGTTATTACACGAAATGGTGTTAGGTGGTTATACTGTTTGAAAGTTTAGTGGACAGGTGAAATTGAGATGGGAATTTCTGCAACTAGGTTTAATTTGTCACATAAAAATACTGAAAAAAGGGGTATCGCAAAGTCTTCCATTAAAAAGAAGTTCACACAATTTTTTTTAGAGATTCCTTGCAAAGAGCATATCTTTTGCAGAATAACTTTGTTAAGGTTTTCTTTTTTAGCTGTTTTTGCTCAAGAAGAATCGATACTATATTTAAGAGATTTGCAAGGAAACAGCTATTCTCATGATCTTAGTAATTATTTACAAGGAGATAATTGAAGGCAAGAAATTAATATATATCTGCTGATAAATCTTCTACAGCGTGCTTCAATGTTTCATTTCCATAACTTTCTATGTATGATTGAAAATTTTGATACAATGCCAACTAGTGAATAGGAACTAATTGGGGGTGAAAATCAAGCTTAATGCTTTGCGGTCAAATAATAGTCATGTTTAACATTATTGCTTCAACCGAAAAATAGTACTAAGTCACATCTTTAGTGAGATTTTCCATGATATTCTTCTGTCATTTTTAAGAAAATAGTCACGTATACCATAATTGAGCACACCTTTTTTCCCATTAATTCTATTATTATAGAATAAACAAACCAAAAAAATGGAACGAGAGTTGGGAAAAAATGGAAATATGTGAAAACAAGAAAGAAAATATTCCAAAGCATTAATTAGTGTTATACGTGACGATCTCTCCAAATAGCATCATGAAGAAGCGACAGGTAGTTTGATTTAGAAAGAAGTACTGAACAAATTTCTGACAATGGTGAATTTTATGTTTAGATAATTAAGTAGGCATTTGGACATAAAAAATTATATTTTTTGAAAAAAAACAAAGAAAGTATTTGAGTTAAAGTTAAAAAATAATATTTGAAATTTGAAATTATGTTTGACATGCATTTCACTTTAAAAAATATTGAAGTTTTGTGTATGTTTTTTGAAAAACTCATTTTTAATTTTTTTTCAAAAACATGCAAAATTGTATAGACAAACGTACTCTTGAAAAGAAAAAAGAAAAAAAATTAAGAACAACTGGGGCCTAAATCTCCTTGTCAAACCAACCAAATGACCCCTACTAAAGTTGGCAAGCACAAGCATAAGGTCTGAAGTTCAAACTATACTAGTTTATCGGGCGGGCTGGGATTGGTTGAACAGAAAAAACTAGCCCGTCCGTTATCGGATCGGGTTGGTTAACGGGCTGGGGGCAGGTTGAACTTTTTCGGGTTATTTAGGGCCCATTCGAGTTAGGACGGGCGGGGGGCTATTGTAATATTTTTTTAAATTAAATTTTATTTTTCTTATTCAATGTTATCGATACTTAAGTGTTTGCAAACTTTTAAGGCTTAGAATTAAACTTTGAAGTTTAAAGTTTAAAGTTTTAAATTTGAATTTTGTATTTTAAAATTATAAAATTGAAATTAGAAAGTAACTAGCTACAAAAAATTATTTAATAAGACCAATAGACAATATGTAAGGAACAAACTGCGAAGGCTTTCATTTTATATTTTTATTACTTCAAATTAATTTGCAAGTTCTTTTTTTATTTTTTTATTTTTGAACTTGTAAATTAAAAGTTTACAACAATTATAAAAAATAAGAAATAGTACATCACATATTTTGCATTAGTTTTGTAAGTTCTTCCATGTCAACATGAGGTTCTTGATTTCCGGCATTGGTTGAATCGGAACCATAAACCATTATATCTCCAATTTCTTGGTCCTCCTCTTCATCTACCTCGGCACGCCCTTGATTTCGCTGTTCTGATCTTATCCAATCTCTGAAGCACACTAAAATTTCCAAAGCGTTGCTGCCCAATGAATGATGGGTATCTCCTAATTGCTGCTTTGCTTGGCTAAATGCGCTCTCTGATGCGACTGTTGAAATCGGCACATTTAACACGTCTCGATCCATGGCCGATAGAACAGAAAATTGATTTGAGTTGCTCTTCCACCAACTCAGTAGTAGAAAATGCTTTGTGAGGGGCTCTGGTGACTTTTGCAAGTAGAATTGGAGTTCATCAATATTCATGCTATTGGTTTGTTGATGTTCTCCTAGTATAGACCATATCAAATAATCTTGAACACAATCATCATCATCCATAGTTGTTCCAGATGTTGAAGGATTACTTGAAGGAATATTTGCATTTACAACCGAAGAAGCATCAACAATGTTAGTATAATAATTATATAAAGTTTGTAAATGTGTGTGTAGATCAGAAATACAAGTGTCAATATCAGGAGTTTCAGTTGGTCTAATATCCATATAAGTATATAAAGCTCTAATTAATTGGCGACACTTTATCATTTTGATAGTAGGGTTTAAAATAGCACCAATTAGGGAAATATGGAGAATTTGGTAGAAATATTTTTTAAACTTATCTAGCATATATTCTTCTTTCTTCTTCAAATTATGTAGTAAAAGAGAAATTTCAGCAATATGAACTAAACCATTTGTAATAGTAGGATAATAAGCTCCAGAAAACTCAAGTGTAGCAACATAAAATTTTTGTAAAAATTATACAACATCATGAATGACATCTCAAGTTCTAGATGTTAACAAACGGCTAGGATCGTTACAATGAGAATTAGCAACTTCAGTTATAGGCATTCTATATTTATAACATCTTAAGAATAAATAAGTATAATTCCACCTAGTAACTATTTCTTCAGGCATGAGTCTTGGTTTTAGTCCATAGTGTACACATTTTTTCTTAAATGCATTTAATCTAACACTTCTATTATTTCCTTGAATTACATTAACAAGTCTCCTAACTAAAGTAATTTCATCTCTAAATAATTCAAGGCCACTCTTCACAATCAAGTTATAAATATGACATGCACATCTAACATGAAATATTTCAGGAAGTGGTGGATATAAATGTAATTTTAATATTGTAATAGCAGCATTGTTGTTAGAAACATTATCAAATGACATACACAAAACTTTTTCTGCAAGATCATAAAATATAGCAACTTCATGGATAGTATTACTTATAAATGCACCAGTATGACTTTGATCTTCATCATATTTAAAAGCAATAATACGTTTTTGCATACAAGAATTATCATCTATCCAATGGCATGTAACAGTCAAATAATCATTTTCATTTAGAGCACGACCAATATCATAAGTAAGAGAAACTCTACAAGGAAGACTTGCGAACAAATAACGTATATATGTCTGATATTGTTCAAAAAGCCTAAAGATATCAGCTCTACAAGTACTTCTAGGAATACTTTTAAACACAGGGTTATAAATTCTTTGAATATAAGTAACAAGATATGGTGAAGAAGCAAAACTAAAAGGTAAACAACCTAACAATCATTTTAGCTAATTCTTCCCGATCTTTCTTAATATCGTATTTACCAAATAACCCCCAGTACTTGGGTTAAGTTTTTGTTGCCCAGATTCCTCATCTACTCCCTAATCAAGATGGTGTTTCTCTTCCATATGCCTACGAAGTTGACCCATTCCCCCTCCCTTACCGGGCTCATGTTTATAATGTTCATTACAAATTTTACATTTTACATAATTTTTTTGATCTTCTAGTCTTTCAAAAAACATCCAACACTTACTTCTTAATCGTCGATTCTTCTTAATAGGGAGAGGAGGCCTATTTGTTTCACCCCTAATATTTTGAGTTTGACTAGCATTACCAGGTGTAGTGGTGGTGTTTCAAGATTATCAGGTGATTGAATATTATCTAAAATATCATTTAAATCATCATCCATACCATACTTTTCTTGCATTCGCTCATAATCTACATTGAAATTTTCAGGTGAACTTTCAAAAATATGTGTAAAGCTACTAGAAGAACCAACACCACCTCTTGATCTTTTGGAAGTTTTCTTACTACCACCTCTACTAGTGCACGCTTTTTTGGCTGCTCTAAGTAAATCCATTATATAAATTAAATTAAAAAATTAAATTAATAATTCTAAATAATAAAATAACTGTACACCAAATAAGAGAAAGAGATGGAATGAGTGTACCGGGATTCCGGATGCCACACTAATTTTGATATCAAAAATCAAACTTCAATTGATAGACCGAAACTTGATAGTTGATACTTGATAGTACTTGATGCCACACTTCACTTGAATACTTGATATTTGATAATAATAATTTTGTAATGACTAAACTAAATAATTGATGAAACTTGAAATAATAAATAATTGAGAATTTGAGATTTGAGAATTTAAGAACAATAATATCAAGAGAGAATTGAGAGAGAATTAGAGTAGTAAGAGAGTGAATTGTGAGAAAAAATGAAGAAGAAGGGGGCTATTTATAGGTTTTAAAAGGTTAAAAATATAATTTTTTAACTATTAGGGGTGTGAGGGCTATATTTTTAATGGGGGAGCAAGAAATGGCCATTTCTGCAAAATCTGGTTGTTCCCTAATGGTCATTTTTCAATTCGACCGTTGGCAACGGTCCAAATAATTAAAAAAAAAATTCTCAATGGTAATTGGGCTGATAACGGGCTACAGCCCATTAATGTGTCAC